AAAAAAAAATAACATAAATAATAATAAGGATTAATTACCTAAAAGTCCTATCTACATATTTGGTGGTAGCTTAGGTTCTGTCAAAAAGTTTTTGAACCAATAAGTCCCATTCACAGGTAACGCCAAAACTGAGAATGTTCTCAATTTTCAAAACAGAGAATAATTTCAGTATATAATTATCAAAACTAAGAAATTTCTCATTTTTTTTCTAGTATGAATTGAGAATATTATCAGTTTTGAGAAATCTCTCAATTTTTTTCATGATTAAAATTGAGAATATTATAAACTGAGAATATTCTCAATTTCAAATCAGAATTTAGAAGAACAATGTAGTCGAGTACATAAGGTTACGATTTCAAATCTGGTGAACTTTTTGACTTTGAAGGTTGCAATTTGAGGTTCAATTCAAAGCCCTGGTCTGATCTGGGTACTTCTCGACCTGTTTTTGGTTCAATTGGGTGGAACTTGAGTATGCTTCACGGCGATCCGAAATGGATCCAGATTTGGATTCCGCGAACTCAGAGCACAAATTGAAATCGCATGTTGATTTCAATGAATCGAGTCCAGAACAACTCCAAAGAATAGCCCAGGTATGATTTCATCACATGTGAACAAAACCCAGATTTGAAATTAGTTTGATGCGAGTCGCGGATAAATTCAAGAGCAGAAGTCATGCTCTTGAACTTAAATCCAGATTCGAAGTCGAAGAGTGACCTGCGAAATTGATTGATCGAGCTTCAATCAACGACAAATCAAGACCCAGATTACCCTTGTGAACTCGAATCACCCATGTCCGTCGAACTGAAGTTGCGTAGAACTTCGAATTGCAACTGTGGAGAGAGAGAGAGAATGAGGACAACAATGATGCTTGGCAGCTATGAGGAGGTCTTGGAAGGATAAATTGGGCTATTAAAAATTAATGGGACTTGAAGGAGCAAATAATTTTATTTAGGACTTAATAGATTATAAGTTCACAAAATGGGACTTGTATGTAAATGCCCCTAATAATAATGTAGGCTCTATATAGATGTTTTACTTTCGTTTAGGTTCCGTTTGATTAGAAAGAAAATTTGGTAGAAAATGAAATGAAAGAAAATATATTTTGGGTAAATTATGCAAATAGTCCCTGTACTTTACATGATGTGTCAATTTGGTCCCTGTAGTTTCAATTTGCTTGATTTTGCCCCTTAATTTAACAGATTGTGTCATTTTAATCCAATAAAAAACGGTTGCTAAATTAATTTAACAGAAGGTCAAATAATATGTCAATTTGGTCCCTGTACTTTACACAATATGTCAATTTGGTCCCTGTAGTTTCAATTGTCTCGATTTTGACAGGAACTAAATTGACACATTATGAAAAATATAGGGACCAAATTGACACATTGTTTAACTTTCCGTTAAATTAACTTAACAACCGTTATTTATTGGACTAAAATGACAAAATCCGTTTAATTGAGGGACAAAATCGAGCAAATTGAAACTACATGGACCAAATTGACACATCGTGTAAAGTACAAGGACTATTTGCATAATTTTACCATACATTTTCTTACAAGTATTTGATTAAAATACAAATTTTGTAAAAAAAAGATAGAAAAGTTTAAAAGTTTACGTATAGATAACTTACACATTCAATTTTTATTGTGGTGTCTTGTATTTTTTGCAAGAAATTAAAAATTATAGTTACAATTTTAATATGAGTTGTACAAAATAAAAATAGTTTTCTTATACTTTTTATCATTTTCAAGCTAAACAAACTCATAAAAATTAAATTTTTGTTTGTTTCTTTCATTTTTTTACCCATTTCATTCTAAACAAATTAAGAGTTAGTGATAGTAATGTCGACAAACTAAACTGTTGCAACATGTGATGCAATATGAATCCCATTTGTCACTTATTCCCGAAGGTGAGGACAATTGTTTTCATTTTATTTATTTTTAAATTAAAGACCTTATCCCAGCACCTACTATATATGATGTTGAGGTTGATGATATGGAGATCTCGATTTATGTGTGTGTGTGTGTATTATCTTGTGTTTTTTTTGTGCAAGAAATGAAAAATTAGTGATAATGCTAATATAAGTTGTACAAGAAAATTAGTTTTCTTATACTTTTTATCATTTTCAAGCTAAACAAACTCATAAAAATTAAATTTTTGTTTGTTTCTTTCATTTTTTTACCCATTTCATTCTAAACAAATTAAGAGTTAGTGATGGTAATGTCGACAAACTAAACTGTTGCAACATGTGATGCAATATGAATCCCATTATTCCCTTGTCTTCGAAGGTGAGGACAATTGTTTTCATTTTATTTATTTTTAAATTAAAGACCTTATCCCAGCACCTACTATATATGATGTTGAGGTTGATGATATGGAGATCTCGATTTATTAAAAGAGCATTTTGAATAACCTCTTTAAAATGTTTAAATTAAATATTTTTGGGCTTATTTTTGCTTAATTATGCCTTCTAACAACCTATGTTTTATTGTAAAACTAATGCGAGGGATTAGAGGTGAGAAAATATGTGGAGCTCACTTTAATTTACATGTTATATTTGATTGAGGGATAAGAAGAGGAGATAAGAGGTGGAGAATATTCACGTCGTACAAGATTTTTAATCTATTGTTTGTAGCATCATATTAAAAGGTCACATAATTTTAATATTTTAAAAAGGAGGAAAAAAGAAGAAAGAATTAATACCATAGGAATCGTGGCATTAGGGGAATTAGAACTCTCCCGATTATTTTTCACATTTATTCAATGGTCAAAAATAATTTATTTTTTTAGTGCGTATTGTGATTTATCATTTATTAAGAATATCACATAGATAATTTCACATATAGCACTAAAAGATAAAATAAGTTAAAATAATCAATAAGACAAAATGTCACATCAAACTCATAATCAATTTATTTTTTCTCTCACAAGCATCACATCCAACTACAAAAAAATCCAATCATCTTGCCAAACACAAAAATTTTAACCTACTTAAATAGCCAAAAACTAAAACAGCAACTTCCCAAAAACCCACATTGTATTGTGTCACGTTTAATTGTCAGATTATTTTTTATGGAATTGACGCAACGAAATAAATCACACGAAACTAGGTATCGTTCTAGTAGACGAGAATTCTTAAATCCACAAGAACACCCTTGAATCCACAAGGAAGATAGAAGAAAAGCTCTTTAAAATATTATTGAATGAATAAAAATTACATGTGCTTGTAGGCTTATTTATAATAGACTAAACCTAATACTTGTAGGAAAAGTGATTCCAAAATAAACAAGGAAACTTAAATCAATACAACTAAGAAACCTAAGAGACTAAAATTCTAAACTATTCAAAATCCTAGTCAAAACCTAATTCTAAATAATAAAATTAAGAAATATAAAAATTATAGAATTTTGTTCTATATCTTTTTTCTTGCCTTTTGTCGGTCTAATTGTTCCAAGAAGTCTTCGGCTACTTGTTCTACATCAGTCCCTTCTTCTTAGAGAGAACTTGGCCTCGAGTTCGATTCTGGATAGAGGGGTTCTTCAGCATGATACTCATATAAATCAACTACATTAAAAATCTTGGAAATCTTCATGTCGTCTGGTAGCTCAATCACATAAACATTGCCATTGATTTTCTTCAACACCCTATATGGACCATACTTGCGAGGCTTCAATTTGTTGTATATGCCAACTGGTAATCTGTCTTTGCGCAAAAACACCATTACTGAATCTCCTTCCTTGAATAGTTTAGAGCGCCAATGGTTGTCTGCAGCTGCCTTATATTTGGTATTTGTTTCCTCCAACTTCTGTCATACTTTTTCTTGTACTGCTTGGGCTTGTTTGGCCATGGTTTCAACGGCAGTACTCACTCCTGGACCCCGAGGCAAACGGAGCAAATAAACTGCATGTTTTAAAGGCGTGACACACTAGAGAGAATGGTGACTTTCTTGTGGCACTATGAACTGCGCTATTATATGTGAATTCTACTTGAGGCAAAGCAAGATCCCATTGCTTTGGTTTGTCTGCACAAATGCTGCGAACCAAATTGCCCAAAGTCCTATTAGTCACCTCTATTTGACCATCTGTTTGAGGATGCGCGGTTGAACTACGATTCAAGGTTGTGTTAAATATCTTCCACAAAGTCACCCAGAAGTGGCTAAGAAACTTGACATCACGATCTGCGGTAATCGATTGAGGGACTCCATGCAAACGAACTACTTCTCGAAAGAATAATCGAGCCACATGAGAGGCGTCTGAAGTCTTTCGACAAGGGATAAAATGCGCCATCTTTGAAAACCTGTCAACCACTACGAACACAGAATTAACTCCACGTTAGGTGCGAGGGAGTCCCAACACAAAGTCCATCGACAAGTCTTCCATATGCTGTTAGGAACAGGTAGAGGCATATAGAGGCCAGTATTCTGAGACTGCCCTTTGGATACTTGACAAATGTAGCACTTCCTCACAATATTGCCAACATCTCACTTCAACTGAGGCCAAAAATATCGTTTTTCCATACTTGCGATAGTCTTGTCCCTACCTAAATGTCCACTTAAGCCACTACCATGGAGATCTTGAATTAGTTTTTCTCGCACAGAGCTACGAGGAATGCATAAGCGATTTCCAGGAAATAGATAGGCATCAGTGATGTGGAAATCAGTGACTGGTTGTCTTTGAATACACTTTGCCCATATCTCCTTGAAGTCATCATCATCAGGATAAAGTTCTTTCAAGAACTCAAAACCCACAATCTCATGTGTCAACGTGACTAATAAACTAGCCCGTCGACACAAGGCATCCGCGACTCGATTCAAAACCCCTGATTCGTGGCGAATAGTAAAAGGAAATTTCTGAAGGAAATTAGACCATCTTACATGCATGTTATCTAGGTGTTTCTGGCTGTTGATAAACTTTAAGGCTTGATGATCAGTATACAACACAAACTCTCTCTGTATCAGGCAATGTTCCCAATGCTTCAAAGCTCGAACCACTGCATAAAATTCTTGGTCGTAAGTGCTCCACTTTTGAAAGCCAGTCAAGAAAATCCTCAATATGTAGATTTCCATTGAAC